TCGTTAATGGGTTGTAGAAAAAATATACTGCACAATTCGAGTAGATTGTCGATATTCATCCAAGTAGCGCCATAAAAACACTTTGGGTTTATTTGAGTTTTAAAATGGTTTTAATGTGGTAAATAAGAAAATACTGGTTTTAAAGTTACTTTGTAGATATACTGCGGTCACTTTAAAGCTGTTTAGCATTTAATACTGGTTTTAAAGTATCTAATAAGATTCGCTAATGATAGCAATTAATTTATAAAAGTTTTTTGTCTTGTTGTAGTTTTAAAATGGTTTAGTTTCAATTATTTTTAAAACTACTTAGTTTTATAAGGGACTTGCAGGTTGTTTGGTTTTATTATGTTCTAGATTGTGACATTATACGAGTAGTTTTTAAGTAGTTTTAAAGAGATTCTTAATATAACTAATAAAACCAATTATTATATCTGCTTGATCTTAGGACAATTTGGTCAGTAAATATTGTGTTTTAAAAATATTTCAATACTTCACCTTACGTTTTATTGGTGGTAAAAATTAGTACAAAATAAGTAATAAATAATGCAATAGATCTGAATCGATTCTGCCCAGTTGGTCCTGACAGCTTAAGAGAGGTACTAAAATGACATCCAGTAATTTTTTTAGTAACTTTTCAGCAAATCGACCCTCGTGATTTAAAAATAAAGTATAACATACCATGCTACCAGCGCCTTAACATTGTATGTTTTAGGTTTGTTCGAGAGTCAAATAGTTATAGCTAGAGTAACAGAAATGATAAACCGTAGTTTAGTTTTCCATAAAAATATTGTAAATATTTCTAAAGAGGACCACAGCGAAGAAAATGTCGAATTTGGAAACAAACTATCACTACTTATAGGAGACTACATGCTAAGCGTTTGTTGTTCGCATCTGATAAGTCTAAAACGTAACAAGATATTTGAACTAATATTATCGAGTATTCGAGATCAAATTGAAGCTGAATTTATCGAACCACAAGATGAGTAAGAAACGATACTTACATTTATTTATAATCTTTATAAAAGTAACAGTTATACGGAGTTTCCTAAGGGCCAATGTCTTAGAGCAAATCCAGGGCTAATAGTTTTTTCTAATGTATTTTAATTGTGTTTAGGTAAATTGAAATTGAACAAAAGGAGAAAATATATAGGTTAAAGGTCCAAAAACTAAGGTATATGAATTAATTGGAAATGTGAAAATAAAAACCTCAATTAATTACCCCTACGAGATTTAGAAATTAATCCCCACCACCCCAAAGTGAAAACCTTAAGATTAAAGAGATCAGGGTATCTATTCTTGAATCTCAGGAAGTAAACATTTTAAGGGAAGAATGAGACAAAAATACAAATTTTGTGCGCTGCGGATAAAGAGGAAAAACCGGTTTTCTATTCCTTCGAATTCAAGAATAGCTACCCAGAGATGTAACATACACATGTGTTTAACTTGCGCGAATGTTGCCAATTTCTAATGAAAGAACGGAGTGGGGGAAGTATGAGGAGACCCCGTACTCTGTGGCAGGGACGGCCTTGATTTATAAGCATCATAATTAACTATTATGGTTATTTAAAAGATGTTTAATAAAATGTATTATGAAATAAAACTAACGTGATTTTTTAATATTAAACAGATTCAACGACATTTTATGTAAAGAGAAGACAAAAGATCCCCTTTAATATTATTACATTATTTATTTTAGTGAATATTGTGTTTCTTTAATTATTAGTAAAAAGAGTTTCCTAAGTAATAAACAATAATGGTAAATACGAGGGTTATCAAGATGTAACTTACATTCATTTATTTAATGTAAATTCTGTAAAAACATTAAAAACAGTTTTAGGTTTGGATGGGCATAAAGATAATGAAAATATCTTTCAAAAGAGGTATTACTAGACTCTACCTCTTCTTAGAAAATTTAAAGATACTATCTATCTTACGTCTCAAGTAAAGTGCATCTTGTTATAACAAAAATATCATAATATCTCTCTAATTTTACCTCGTTTATATTTCATTTCTTTATCTGTTTCCATTTAGAAGTTAAGGGGGGTGGGTAATTTACGTCCTCACTGTATACAGGGTATTTATTAAGTACTTTTACAAACTTTACAATAGTGAATCTTTGAGTAACTATAAGGCAAAAAGTTCATATGAACACATGTCCTAAACTTAACTTTTGAGCTACAGGGTGGTAAAGTTTTCGGAAATAAATCTGTGAGACTATTATAGCTATCTTTACGAAATTCGGTACACATCTACTACGTATTAGGATGCATTTTTTGATGAACAAACAATTTTATTATTTCTACCAGTGGCATCCGTACGGGTTTCGTATTGAATATTTTTGCAGAAAAAAAATAGTAAGCCACTGCTTCATCTTAAAATAACAATTATTTTTGAAACAAAACCTCGAACAAAACTAAAATTGTAATTATTTATGGGGATAATTGGTATCCCGATGACGAGAATCTTAAATGATGAGACAACATTTTTATGAGAGGGAATGAAAGAGGAGCAGTGAGACCTGTTGTCAATACGTGGTTTTTATGTTCACAAGAATGATAGGTCAGATGTGTCTCATGTTTATGAAGGGATTGGATTGTAATAGTAGTTTGTGCGACAAGAGTGGATATGGACAATTCACTCGAGTTGTAGAGTATATTTTTTCTACGACTCGTTAAGGAAAATCTACAAATTTTAAAAAATATTTTAGATTATTAAGACAAAATAACTAATTAAAGTCCAACAGAAGCTTCGGCTAAAGCTTCGGCTAAGGCTTCGGCCACCTTCGGCCAAAAAAAGCACGTTCGGTCGCACATTCGGCTTCGGCCTAAACCGGCCGAAGGTTTTTTGCCGAAGCCAAATGAAATATTACGATTTACGAATGACGCCGACTTCAACGTAACGCGTGGTGGGGGTGGGGAAGTTAATGTTTAATTCTGAGAAAAGTAACATGAAAAACATTAATTTTCATTTTATGCCTGATGATGGCCCCTGGACCGAAATCGGTAGTCTCCTTTAAACGTCGTTTATAATTTTATTGTAACATTCATAACTGAAATTTTTAAATGACTTGGTCAAAATTAATAATACGGGGCTCGTAAATAATATGTGCTGCAAAAAAATAATAAACTTTATTGAATAACAAAAATTGTAATGTTATATTTAACAACAATCCATTTTCAAGAACCAATTTAAATACTATAAAATAGATACAATATTTAATTTTCTATATTTATTTTAAAGTCAAAACAGGCCGTTACCAGCTTTGCCTATGCCAACCAAAGAAGACATTTTAATGCCTAATCATTTGGAACAAGAAATATTCATAATAGAAGAAATATTAGGAAACGCTAAGTCAGAATGGATTCTACGCCATGTATTGGGTGGAGCAAGTTTATTAGCAAATAGCTGTCAAGTAAGTAGAATTCTAAACTAGAATGAAGATATATAATGCCTAGCATTCTAACTTATACTCTTCACACTAGGGTTCGTCTTTTCACTTTCAGATAAAGTGTCAGGTAATGTTTATATCCCAAGTAACTTAAAAAGTGATCTTTTCACTTCTGGATAAACCTTACTTCTGAAAGATAACTTATCTTACTAATGGAAGTCTTGATAAAATACTCCACTGATGGATAAACAGGTAGGAACATAACTACATAAGGTTAAAAACTACTGGATACCTATTCTACATATTATTTACTTGAAGAGACAGAAAATTAATTATCTGACAGATAGTAATTCTCAGATAATATATCCGACAGTTAGTTATCTAGAAGTTTATCTGAAAGTGAAAAGACCGACCCTTAATTTTCAATCAATTTTTTTTCAGAATCAGTAGGCTTCACCCCCTTATAAAGCTTGATTTTTACTAAACATTTCAAGTTGATATCGCTTTTGGTTTTTTATTTCTATTTTTTTTTTTCATTTCAATTACCACTTTATTTAGTTTTTTGATATCAATATGCTTTGTCTTCTTATAGATATAGTTGATATTTGCCAAAAATTTCAAGGAGTTTTTTTGTTTTCAATATTTTAACCCCCCTTAACTCCCCATTTTTATTCAAATTCAATGGGCTTCGTCCTCTTATAGAGCTTGATTTTGCCTGGAATTTTCAAATGGACACCGTTTTTCGTTTTTGACTTATCGTGCGGACAAAAAGTGACATCGGACGGACGAAACCAAATGCAGAATACAGACTACTGTGTGAAGAGCATAATGATAAGAAATACGTCTTGTAACTTGAGGCCAAAAACTATTGTTAGAAAATTACCGTTTTCAATAAATGGCGTACAAAAATTTTAAGTTTATTTTGAATACCTCAGTATTGCATTCGTGCAGACGAAAAATTTTCTAAACCCGTACTTTTTATCATTTTCTACACATTTCCGATCACAATAACTCAGAAGTACCGGTAATGGTTTTCTTTTATAATGTGTTCTAACTAAGAACGCTAATTTCGCGCGAAAGCCTACCCTGTCCTTTGTTTACTCCCGCGGTATGGAGTCTAGCGGCGCGCTGGCAATATAGAGACAATCGGACCGCTTCTCGAATCTACCAAAAAAAGCAATACGTGCCCGTTGAGTCATAGAGATGGAATTTACGGACATTCGAGAGCGTTTAGAAACTACGAGTACAGAATTGGCTTTGTATAAATAGCGCAAGTTCGTCGACGGACGAGTAGTTTAAAATAAAGTATTAGACTGAGAAGATAAATTGTAATAAATAAATTAGAATTGTGACTTAGTGTCTAAGTATTATATAAATTAATTAGTATGTTAGTAATAAATTGTAAATAGTGTTTCAAATAAATAAATTAAACTATCGTCACACTATTGATTTTAAGAATAGTAATAGCGTATTTTACATATTGATCTTATTTGGGACATCTTCCAGAATCAACCTATATAGATATATTGCAATTACTGAAAAGTCAGTAAAAGACAGTTAAAGTACCTTAACAGCTCGAAAATTGATTCTTGTCTGTTCGTTTTAGGCAACTATGATGCTGACAGACCACTCCAAGGATCTTGAACAGCCAGCTTACACAATTGGACGAAGTATAGCTCTATCACAGCAGATCCAAACAGACATTTCAAACTTCAAATCCGGCGCATTTGGACCTTTTAGTTTAATAAGTGCCCCAATGATGTTCTATATTCAAGATAACGTAGACTTATATCAAACTCTAATGAAACATGTCGAAAAAGACGATATTAACTACGACGAACTTAGAAATTTAGTCATAACTGGAAACGCAATTGAAAAATCTCTGGAGTTAAAAGATGAATTTGTTTTAAATGGAATGGAAGCCTTAAAAAAATTTCCAGAAAATGAGGCAAAAAATGCTTTAATTAATATCTTAAAGACAATATAATATAAAATAGTTAAATTTATGAATTTTGTGAGAAGGAAAACCCTTTGAAGAAATATTTTTTCTACAAAACTTGTTAAAAGTGCATTAAAAAATTACAAATTATCATAAATATAATTTAACGTTCTATGGTCATAATTTGCTTTTAACACGCCTCCCATAAAATTACATTTTTAACACTAAATCTAACCACAGACTGCTTTTAATGGATCTGTAGAAAAACGATATTTTATGTTCAATAATATTTTTATATACTCTGCAGGGCTGGTATATCTAAGGGGGTCGCGACATAGACCCAGTAAATGGATGAGGGGGTCACTGAGGCTAGGGAAGAAATAGTAGTCAGCTTAAGTTGGCAACACTTTTCTGATGTTCGTTTGGCGAAATCCACGATTATCGTTTGTCCTGCCGTAATAGTATTATAAAAACAGAGACAGATCTACTTTTAACGTACATCGTGCATAATGTCAATATGGTACAAGTGGAATGAACCACTGTTTTCCTTATAGTCAAATGTCGAATTAAAACTAAAAACATTTTGTACTTTTTTATATACCAAATTATGTAATTTGTTTCCACTTTAATGTTACATGCGTTTGTGCTCTGGTAAATAAGTGTTCATGTGAAAATTATCTCTGAAACTGCATTGTGACTGCACTCATCTCAAAACTGAATGCTGTAAATCCAGGATTTAAATCTTTCATAGTGTTGCTTGGAATAAATTGTAAAAAAGGTGTTGGAAAAAACGTTTACAACCTAAAATTGCATGGAAAACGTCATAGAAGAAGGAATTTTACCTTTATGACATTCTCTTTTAAAATTTTTAAGTGACTAAGTTTGTGGTTTGGTGAATAAACTCAGTTACTACAGTCAAAAAATTCAAATTAAAAAAAAAGTGACTAAGTTCTAATAAGAATACATAAGTTGAATATGAAAATGTAATTACTTGATTTAAATGTGATTTAATTAAGAGCTAAATGTTTCATATTAAAAAAGTGCTGTAAAATGTAAAATGCAAAACCATTATTAAAGAGAAATTAGTTATCATCAATAGGATATTTTGTAGTAGCTGGTCTCTTTAAATAATAAACTTGAAAGACTCTGAATTAGTAGTCACTGTGACACTAGAAGTAAAAACAAAACAAAAATGTGTGGTTGAGACTAATTTATGTATTTAATAAAAACATATATTTAACATGTTTAACTTATTCGGAATAGATGACAGGTTAATTGCTGTATTTAAATCTTATCTTTATGAACGCACTCAATACGTTCAAACTTTAGGATATAAATCTCAACCTTTTCTTCAAACTTCCGGTGTCCCACAGGGGTCTATATTGGGTCCGTTACTTTTTAATATTTTTATAAATGACATCACCGAAGATCTTGATATTGATAAAGATATATATGCTGATGATATTAAACTATTCTGTGAGATAAACTCCGTCAATGACTGTTTGAACCTCCAGCGAAACCTTAATCATGTTAATAATTGGTGTATCAGAAATAAGCTCCCTATGAATCCAAGTAAATGTAACGTAATGTCTTTCTGTCGGAAAGAATCAACTATCCAATTTAATTACAATTTAAGTAATATTATCCTCGACAGACCAGATATCCTAAAAGATCTAGGTGTTTATTTTGATCCAAAGTTATCTTTTATTCCTCATATACAAAAAACAATCTCTTCAGCATATCGGTCGCTGGGTTTTATTCTTAGAAATGCGAAATGTTTTAATAATATTAATACATTGAATCTTTTGTTTTCGGCTTTTGTAAGATCGCAACTAGAATATGCTTGTGTTATTTGGAGCCCGAATTATAATATCCATATTTCCGCTTTGGAGCGAGTGCAAAGAAGATACTTTAAGTCGGCTTCTTATATCTTGGACGGTCTTTATCCCGCTAGAGGCACACCTCAAGAACACTTTTATATTCGTTTTGATAGCTGTAGTTTAATTCGTCGTCGGTCAATGCATTCAATTATGTTTTTATATAAAATTGTTAACTATATTTTTAAATGTGATAATATTGTATCGTCACTAAATTTCAGAGTTCCTAGACCAAATTCTAGAACCAACAGTCTTTTTTATGAATTACCACATAAGACAAATATTTACAAATATTATCCGTTGAATCAGCTCATCATTGACTACTCTTCAATTGAACCTAGTATTGATATTTTTTGCACAAAAGCTGCTCAAATTAAAAAAACCATTCTTCGGGGTAATTTGTAGGAAGGACGGATGTCCAGAATTTGGTCAATAATTTCATATGTACCCATGTGTGTAATCTTAGAACATAGCTGCATATGAGTGCTTACTTTTTTTCCCTAAAGGGTTTTTTCCAGTGAGCATTCATATATAGCTTAACAGATATACTGCTTTGAATTATTATTTTTTTGTTTCTGTATTTTGCTGTGTTTGTAGTTATCCTGTAATTGGGCTTTTCCGAGGATATTGTAATAAATAAATAAATAAATAAATAAATAAATAAAAAACAGGTGTTATTTGAAATGTTTTATTTTAGTTTAATAATGTTTATAAATTGTGGATACATTTGATCCGAATCTTGCTTAATACTATAAAATGCATATGCATTTCTATATGGTTAGTATTGGAATAGAAGCATAAAAGTTTTAATTAAAAATATATTCTTTAAATACAATATTCACTAGATATGCTAATTTAGGTAATTTCCTATTCGAAGCCATACATGTTTCCTATTATAGTTTTCATACGTTTATAATTCTGGAGACACTGAAATATTTTGCTTGATTACTAAACTTTGGCTGTTCTTATTGTGGTCTGCTGTTAACACTATTGTCCTGAAATATTAAAAAAGCTAAACAAAGGTTTGTCCAACTCTTTTGTCAGCTTTGTTAATCTATGCTACTGTTATTCTGCATGCAGACATTTTTTACTGAAGATTTTCTCTAAGAACTGTATTCAGTTTCAAATTTCGGCCAGTTTTAGGAAAGTACCTCTGTTGTAAAGGTATTACAAAGCCATCCTTTGTAAGATGTAGCCAACAAATACATGCTAAAATGTATAGAAAACAAATCACAAGATATTACACAAAATTATTTAAATTAAATTAAAACATACAAATGAAGTAAATAATAATTACCAACAATTTAAAAAGACCTAAAATAAATAGACTTAGGGCACTTGGGCTCTAAAAAAGGGAGCCATAATTTGTTATGCATCCTCATCTATAAGAAAAATGTCTTCATCTCTTCAATTACCTTTTAAAATAAACTAAACAAAAACAGCACAAAATTGAAAGTGATCTATTTTTCACGACGTATTCTATATACATGTGAGATTATTAATAATTTATTAAATTGAAATATTTTATCCTAAAAAATATGGTCATTTTATAATGAAAATGTCATTTAAAAAAGACATTGATTTTTCTCTTATATTGGCAAGCCTGGCGACTACAGGTTGCCAGATCAATTGGCGTCCAAAATGAACTCCTATGTCGCGACATCCTTAGATATACTGCCCTGATACCCTGCTGTTTTATTATCTATTTGAAAATTGTACAAATTATCCCTACACTACGCAACAATATTACGGCGCAAATATATGGACTTTATTGAGTATCGGAAGATCAATCATTTTATGTTTTACAATAAAAAATTCCTGGGTATTCATTAAAATGTTGTATTTTTTTAATTGCATATTACGAGTACGTTATGGGCTTACGTACTATAGTTTTTTTACGACCACTATTTTTAATTAATAAATTAAATAAATTAGTGTTGTTATAAGGATGTATAGTATAATTTATAAAAAAAATATCAGAGTTCCCCAAAATGAGCCATAAAGACGTTTTCTGAAATGGACTTAACATTATTATGTGTGGCAGAGGATAGACTAATTTTTGTTTGGACCGGATGTTTTTGTATCTGTTGGCTATATTAATATTTTTAAAATATTTTGTATATCAATAGGAGCTACTGTTAGTATTCTTTGAATAGTAGCTACAGCTAGAAGAGTGAACAGCATCTTGGGCTTTCAAAATAATCTCTGGTGGAGAATTAATTATTCGAAGACATTGATTAAATTGTTAACAAAATTTGAGGGAATACTGTTTTTGAAAGAAAAAAGAATTGTTTTTTTCTTCATTCACACGCATCTAGAGACGTACAATCTAATAGTGCAGAAAGTAACCAATTCATTTTTTCGAATGCAAATAATGAGATTTACTTAACCAGAAATAGTACAAATAAAAATTTGTAAATCCGGATCTGATTTTCCGCTATATTTGAACACACCGGTTCACACCATAGACATCATATATCTCTGGTCCACAAAAAAGACTCGCGTACTAATTTTGTATATCAATTAATAACATTCTTAGGTTTTAGTTATTGAGTTAAAATATAAATAAAAATGAGTGACTCTTGTAAAGAATCGATAAAAATGGCAATCCACTACTTATTCGTTTATAGATAAATCCAAAGTTTGAGTGACATGTGTTCCCGTTTTTAAGTCCGCGGTTCAAATCCCGGCTGAGGCCATTTTTTCAGATTAATTTTATGTATTAGAAAAATTTATAAATTCAAATCTTTGTGTTAATAAAATATAGTTATTTTTTTAATTTTGCAAATTTTCTTAAGTGGCTCAAACTTCGTTTTCGTGTGATATGATCTTATCCACTCTTACTGTACAAATTAAAATTATTAAAAATGGTATACCATAATATGTATAACGTGTTGCCTACCCCTTAGAACATTATATATGTTGTAAATTTTAATTAATAAAGATTGTTCAGTTCCGGTTTTTATTTGAAAAATCTTATATTCTCTCGTATGCCTCATGACGTGTGACAATAAATCAAGTAAATTTAAATTTTGTTGTCAAATGTCTACTACTATTTTCCCATTTATCCCATATCTGTGTGTACTGCAGGTAGAGTGAAATAGAAAAAAAAAGTAAATATTGGGAAGACGCACTTTTCTTAAAAGCTTATATTTTAGGTTTTATTTAGTT